CTCTTATACACATCTAGATGTGTATAAGAGACAGGGGTATGGCGGTAGGGTATGGCGGTAGGGTATGGCGGCGGTAGGGTATGGCGGTAGGGTATGGCGGTAGGGTATGGCGGTGGCGGGGTATGGCGGCGGTAGGGTATGGCGGCGGGGTATGGCGGTAGGGTATGTCGGCGGCGGTATGGTATGAAGAAAGGCAGGGAGGGAGTAGGGAAGGACGGGAAGAAGCAGAAGAGGAGAGAGGAAGACCTAGTGAATGGGCCAGAAGAAGAAGAAGAAGAAGAAGAAGAAGAAGAGAGGTGAGAAGGGGAAGAAGAAGAAGATCAAGAAAGGTCGAGGAGAAAGATGAAAACGCGAAGGGGAGGAGGGTAAGAAGAAGAAGACGAGAGGACGACAAGAAGAGGAGGAGAAGAAGAAGATAAGCGGAGGAGGGGAAGGAGGAGAAGAAGAAGATAAGCGGAGGAGGGGAAGGAGGATGGCCTTCTTTTTTTTTTGTTTTTCACCTGTCGTGTCTCACCTGACCTACCGAATGTTGACGAACTAGAAGATGAAGAAGAAGAAGGAGAAGGAGAAGAAGAAGAAGAGGAGGAGAAAGAAAATGAGTGGGTGAGAAAGGGGAAGACGACGAAGAAGAAGAAAGTTTGAGGAAGATGAAAATGCGAGGGGGACGAGGGGAAGACGAAGAAGACGAGAGGAGGAGGAGGAGGAGGAGGAGGAGGAGGAGGAGGAGAGAAGAAGAAGAAGAAGAAGAAGAAGAAGAAGAAGAAGAAGAAGAAGATGAGCCGAGAAGGGGGGGTGTAGGTGGACTGCTTGTTGTATCTCACGTGACCAAACACCCCAACGCCTGCCTTAAACCACCACGAACATGGAGCGTCTCAACGCTAGCAAAACGGTAAGGTGGAGAGGAGCCAGCAGAGGTCCCACTGAGGACCTGAAAAATGACAGAGGACACCCCACGAGAGGAGCCAGGTCGGACCCGGTAGGCCTGCGGGAGGCCAACAGCAGCGAAAAGGGGGTCCGAGACCCCCAGACAGGTGAGTGCGCTGGGGGGGCCCGGCCCCCAACAGGGTGCCCTGCCCGGCCAGGCCGCCTGGGACCTCCCCGTGGCCCCCTCCAGTCACCTGGGCGGCCCGGATCCCCACCCAGATAATGATTAATTTCTTATCGCTTTCTCAGCCTTTATCATCAGCCTTATGTGATCATTTTTACCAATTTTTATGTGATCTCGTAATTTTCGTGTGATTTCATGTGATTTTTGTGTAGATGCGGGGATTCCGGAGAGGACTCTTGAGCGTTGCTATGCGCCCGTATGTTCTGAAAAATGCTGTTGTGAGGGGCAGTGGGACAAAGCGAATCCAGCTCGATAAAAGCCTTGGCACAGATGAGGTGAGGCTCACTGGGCAGAGATTGTCTCTCTCTAGCACCATCAGGTCAAAGGAGGAAAATCATTCAGAAATTTATTCGTCATGTTTCTGAATCCTGATCAATTTCAATTTCTCATGAACGGACTCAATACCTTAAATGTATAACCACACACATCACTCACAGCCGTAATGTCGATGATCTGGATTTCTAGTGTGTTGATTGAGCTTATGCTGCCCACAGTACACCACACCTTGAACTTCCCTTGTCTGTAGTAACACTGATTGTGAAAGAGCAGGAGTTGTGATCGATTATACCAGCTGTACTCTTTTTCTCCTGCAACGGCTCCTTGCTACTTTTGTAACTTCATTGAGAACAAATTTAGAGGAATCAGGAGTAATCTCTCTCTCTCTCTCTCTCTCTCTCTCTCTCTCTCTCTCTCTCTCTCTCTCTCTCTCTC